AAGTGGAAAGTTTCTCTGAGCTTTAAGGGAGCGTCAAATCTTGGTCCAGTTTGCAACTTATTCAAGTGCGATGTAGAGACTTGACCTGAGACTGAAACTAAGTGAAGTAGGAGACATCTTGTGTCTAGCAGGAAAACAATTTGCATATTCATAGTTTCTGCATCTTTAAACGAGACAGAAGGAGTAGATGACTTTTTAAGGATTTTAATGAGGAAATGAGATATTTTTGCACACAAAAAACCAAACATATCGGACACATATTATTGCTCCAAACAGACTATTGTGTAATACATTTCTGGTGGGGGTCATGAGTTCAAATTCCCCCTTTGCAAAAGCTGTAAAATTCCTTAATGTTTTATTTTTATTTTACTTGATTCAAATGTTTTTATATAAATTTAAAGTTAGATTTTATGTGAATGTGATTGTCTAACTGCCAAAGCCCATAAATTCTATAAAATATAGTATATATAAGTCTCTTTTAGCTCATTGTTTTGGTTTCCTGGCCTACAACAGGCATTTTTCTCAGTAGCGGCGGAGACAAAAGGAAAGTGAATCCTGGACGACTCGAGTTGAACATTAAAGTGTCCTGGCAGCAGCAGCTTGATAAAGGGGACAATATGTCAGATGTTGTGGTTAATGTAGCTTTAACGTGTTCATATGTCCAATCTAAGATCAGAGTCGTGAGCGCAGTTATTATTAATTACGAGCACAGAACAAACAGCAAACAGAAAAACAAACAAACAAAGAGTCAGTACAGATGCCAGCGCACAGATGTCAGAAACATGGCCGCCCGCGTCCTCTTCAGATTAAGATCATTCACTCGAACCGCTCAACTGTGCGAAGAAACAGCCGATGAAAACTGAAGCAGGAAGTTGAATGAACATTAAACCACGAGAAGATGATCACGGCGTCCTTTAACAACAGCAGCGTTGTTTGACACCTGCTTTCAGTTTCAAAGCTGAAACACAATTGGGCTTTCAGAGAGTATTTTAATGGCTTGTTTGTCTTTGTTTTGAGGCCTTTTCTTTCCTTAATCATAGAAATAATGTCGGGAGCTTTTCATTTTGCCCCAAATTGTCAGACGTTTTTTGTAAACAGCAAAGTCAATTTCATTTAAATATGATTACAGATCTGCTCCTCATTCATTCTCTCCCTGAGTGTTTTTTTATATACTGGTTCTTCGTCCTCAAGTCTCAAACTGCTGCCTATATATGTAAATGCCACATGTCTGGTGATTAATAATAAATGCGAGACCCTCATGAATGAGCTGAATTAGTGTGGCCCAAAACATCAGCCATTCAAAACCCCTATTATTCCCTCTGTGACCTTTCTCTCCTGGCAGCCAGAGAGAAGCGGATGATCTCTAGTTTGTCAAAAAAGAGCGAAATGGGAGTTAATAGGCAGCTCCTCAGCAAACACTGGGGGTCATTATGAATGGGAGGCAATCAAACAGATCAAATATACAGCAGTGGTGGAGGGGGGAAATGGAGCTGGAAGTTGGAGGCAAAAGAAGGAGGAGGAAATACAAATTGAAGAGGCTGGTAAATATAATAATGGCATGTAATCATCCCTTTAAATGCAGATACCGAAGAGGAGTGTTGACTGATGGATGCCCTCGTGGACAGGGGAGACACGAGGAGACGGAGCTGGATGGGAACTGGTCTAAAGTTACAACTCCTCTATCAGAGAGCCGGAGTTTTAGGAGTCATTGCAGTTTCCTTTGTCTCCCTCCTGTTGTTGTTTGCAGACGGTGACGAAGATCCGAGCGCCAATGTTCCTCCAATGTGACTGATTGATCCAGTAGATGAACAGTAAAGATTAAGAGGATGACAAATAAGCATGCTGCTTACACAGCGCGTGGGGCTAATCCTCCCCCTTCCACCCCCCAGGGCTCCCTTTTGAGGAGCTGCCACCGAGGAGCACCCACAGACAGTGACGGACCCCGACAGCCAGAAGGGAGGACTCACAACCTGTTGACGTTGCAACAAGTAGTAGGAGTTTGAGCTCATGGCAGGACCCCAGTCCATCTGCATCTACACACCAGAGGCTGCAACGCAGTAGAGGCTCTGCAGGGGACTCAACCCGCCATCTGCCTACTAGGGGGACCACTGGAGGCCTGACAGCTACATATTTCTGTCCCTACAAAACAAAACCTGAAAGGAACTTGAACTTTTTCTGTGTCGATTCTGGACGTTGTATTTTGAAAAAACTTCAGAGAAGAGGACTAATAGTTTTTCAGCAAAGTTTCTAAACTTCATTCGCTTCAGGAGACGTCTTTATTTAAAAAAAAAAAAACATTAAATAGAATGATGGAGGATCACCTGCCGAAGATCCCCATGATGTCCTCCGCTTCCCCCACCGAGTCTTCTGGGAGCGGCGGGACTGACGACAGCAGAGGAGGTAAGAGTTTCACCAGGAGCAACAGGTGTCCATAAAGCCTGAAATATGGGACGCAAGTAAATTATAATTTAAGTTTGAGATACTCGGGTTTGACGTCCCAGGTGAACTGTTTTGCACTTTCTGTTTAAATATTTAACTGGTTGAATTTAACAAGTTTCTTTAAACACCACACAAGCATGAAGTAAAACTAAAACATCATAAATATGCACATAAATCCCATTTTTATTCAAATAAAAGTTCATAGCTCAAAGCTTACATTTCTTAAACACAAATATTCTTAATTAAAGTAGAAGCAAAGCCAGAATAAATATTTATTATGCAACTGTAAGCAACACTATCTGAATATATGTATAATTAATGGGTTTATTTGGATTAATGTCAGTATCCCTGCATCGTTTGTGTTAGTTGTTAATCTGCCTGCAGCCATTTATTGTTTTAATTTCATAATCATCCCCTAAATGAGATTTTCAGACCCAAACGGCTGTTACAATATTGACTCGAGCTACGTGAGACTGGGCTGAGAGTACAGATGGCAGGCACATGTGTGAAACAATACCAGACTACATGAATGGCACTAACTGACCTGCCCTGTGTGACTGTGTTTGACTCACAGCCAAGAGTCCGGCCCCAGGGAAAGCTCTGAGCCCGGCCCTGGTCTGCAAAGTGTGCGGGGACACCAGCAGCGGGAAACACTACGGCATCTACGCCTGCAACGGCTGTAGCGGCTTCTTCAAACGCAGCGTGAGGAGGAGGCTCATTTACAGGCAAGAGAACGCTGCTGGACGACCATGTGTTTGTCATGATTAACAATGTAAATGAGGTGCATTATGGGAAGTTAAGGACAATTCAAAGTTGAAATCAACATTGTCACAACATTAAATGTGGTTATATCCAGTAAAACCACACATTTTGTATAATATCGTACAGCAAATTTTTGTTTTAGTTTATTAATATGCTCTGTCCCTGAGAAATAAATGAATAAAAATTGGTGTAAATATGCCAGAATTAGCCAAAAAATGCAAAAATATAAATTCAATAAACAAGTTTGAAACAGTAAGAGCAGCGATTTTCAAACTACATCGAACGGTAAGCCAAAATCTCCAGGCACACCTGTATTCATATCCGTGCAAAATAGCCTCTATAACATGTGTTATCGCTCAGTAAACATTTATTTTAATTGACTAATGCCAAATACAATTTGAGAAACAACTATGAAATATGAATAAATACTAATTTACATCAAACCAGGAACACAAAATTTAAAATAAGGTTATTGAACTACAAACTGCACATACTAAAGTACTGATGAACAAATTAAAAATGTGTTCAGAACTTTTTGTATAGCTGTTAATTACATATGTTATGGTCGTCACAAAATCCCAAGGCACACCTGTACTTGCACCATGGCACACACATAAAGCAACAACAGAACAATAATATAAATGTATGTTTTTGTTACAAAAAAAATCCCCCAAAATGTTACCAAAAGTGTTGACGACCAAAAGATCACTGCTTGGTTGACCCCATAGTTATCTGTACAGGTGGTTTTTATTTCAATATAAATGAGTCATGAATGAATCTCAGATGCGTTTCACCATAAATTTGTATTTCTGTAATTATTACACAGTATTTAAGTCTTGTCTGTGGGGTTAACAGGTGTCAGGCTGGAACAGGCATGTGTCCAGTGGACAAAGCTCATCGCAACCAGTGCCAGGCATGCCGACTGAAGAAATGCCTACAGGCGGGCATGAACAAGGATGGTAAGTGTGTGGAAATACATCACAAACGTTCACCGTCACCGTAAGAGATTCGACTTTCTGTGAATCTGTGCAAGGTTAAAATTAAACCACCCTGTCCTTCCTCACTGCAGCAGTGCAGAACGAGCGGCAGCCCCGCAGCACAGCTCAGGTCCGCCTGGACTCCATCGACGTGGACCCTGAGAAGGAGCACCTGGCCACCACACGGGAGCCCACCTCCTCTTCTTCATCCTCTTCCTCCTCTTCCTCCTCCTCCTCCTCCAGCGGGTCAGTCATCACGTGGCCCCACATCACCTCCTCCATGTCCATCACCTCGTCTGTCGCCCCCCAGCGCTGCATCAGTCCCCAGAACAACCACCGCTTCATGGCCAGCCTCATGACGGCCGAGACCTGCGCCAAGCTGGAGCCCGAGGACGGTGAGGAGGGTTTAATATCTGAGAGTGAGAAATTACACTCAGATCAGATTAGTTAGATTCATTTTATTGTGCAGTTTTATCACGTGTTCTTCAAGCTTCCACACCTGTAACTTAAAACCACAGAAAAACAGCATTTCAAGAAAACTTTGTCCCCATAAATTTAAATATTTGTGGTCGAAGCGGGACAAATTCATTCAGAAAAGAGAGAGGGGGAGAGAGAAAGAGAGGTGGTTTTATTGGACAGGAGAGGCAGAGGGGCGGGTTGATCAAAATCCTGTGACGTAAGCTAATAAGTGGATTCCACCTTAGGTCATAATCACTGAATTATTGTCTGTTTTAGTTGTGTTGATTGTATTTTAGAGTGGATTTTATTGTGTTTATTGCACTTAAATCCACTCTAAAACAATCGATCATACAATATATGATAACATACAAAAATACAACCAAAATACAATAACATTCAGCATGTAAGCAATCCAGAATTATCTTTAATTAATTAATTTACTAGTTTGAATATTTATTCTAAATTAATATTTAGAATAACCAAACCAGGACCTGACCTGGGCCTGACGCTGGTAGCAGAATATAAACTGAACTCAATCCTGACCTTGTGTGTTTTCTGCTTCAGTTGACGAGAACATCGACGTGACCAGCAACGAGCCGGAGCGAGCGTCCTCGGAGTACCACATGGCTCTGTACCCGTCCAGCTCTGAAAATGTGTACGAGACCTCGGCCAGGCTGCTCTTCATGTCTGTGAAGTGGGCCAAGAACCTGCCGGTGTTCTCTAACCTGCCCTTCAGAGACCAGGTGAGACATATATTCTCAGACACAAATACAACTGACATGATTTAAATTACTACAGTTTCTCTTTTGAGATGTTATTTAAGAGTTTCAAAATTATTGAGTAAAATAAATGACAATTCCTGTTAGTTTTAGTGGAAAATTGTATCAATTTGTCCATCTTTCGATTATCAGTTAATTTGTTTGATTCAATTCATTGATGAAAAACATAATATATTTCATCATAGGTCTCGTTTTCAAGCTCTATTCCTTAGTTTTTGTTGTGAAATAAAAGTTTTTTTCATTGTTTTCATTGATAAAATGAACACAGATTGGGAGGAAGATAAAAAATAAAAAATAATAAATAATACGAAAGATCCAATTAAAAACTTGTGATATCCGATCATTTTGAGTTGATTTTGTATCTCACGTAGTTGTGTTTTTATAACTAACTTTCTAAGAAAACATACAAAACATAAATATCATAATTTCGAATTCAACATTTTGAAATACTATTATTTTAATCACAAAATGAAACAAATAATAACTGTGAAATATTAAGTCACATTTGTGATAACTTTTCATCTATAAACTATATCTTAAAATTGATTTTAACTTGGTTTTCTTTTGGCAGTAACAGGCTTCCATATAACCTCTTTGTGCAGTTTTTTAAATGAATGTCTCTTGTTTGTGTCCCACCAGGTGATCCTGCTGGAGGAGGCGTGGAGCGAGCTCTTCCTGCTCTGTGCCATCCAGTGGTCTTTACCGCTGGACAGCTGCCCGCTGCTCTCTCTGCCTGACCTCTGCCCCGGCATGCAGGGAAAAACCAGCTACACCAGCTTGGACCTGCGCCTCCTGCAGGAGGTCTTCAGCCGCTTCAAGGCCCTCGCCGTCGATCCCACTGAGTTCGCCTGCCTCAAGGCCATCGTGCTCTTCAAGCCAGGTGAGTCTCATTATTGCACTACAGTAACAAGATGAAGGCCTAAAAGACGAGTTTAGATCCGTAATTGACTACTAAAGGGCAGATTAGCTTTAGGTTTCCAGATAATGATATAATAAATTAATGCTACATACAAACACAATATAAATATATAAAACAAGACCTAAGACCTAACACATATACAGTTATCGTGATATTTGCTGAGGACAGTTTTTATCTGATGGTAATTAACCGGTTGGACTTAAAGAGACTTTCTCTTGCGCCTCCCTCTGGACAAATTATTCAAACCAATTTATTCTTTTTCACTTCAGACAGTTAATTAAAGAACTTAAGTTACTGCAGAACAAGTTATGGGATTCAGGAAAATGACAAATTCTTAGAATCAGCTGATAGAAAATAAACAATAAACTACAACTCCAGTAAAGCAAATAAATATGATACAAAAATGCTCATTTGAATAAAAGATGTTGTTTTTCTTAAATTTTGTCCAGATGGATGTTTGTATTGTAACAGTATTCGTCTGAATTTGTGTGACTCACGTTAGGGTTTCTTGTCCACAGAGACTCGTGGTTTGAAAGATCCAGAGCAAGTAGAGAACCTGCAGGATCAGTCTCAAGTGATGCTGGGACAACACATCCGCTCGCACTACCCCAGTCAACCAGCCAGGTAACAGCCAGTCTTAGAGCATAAGGATTTAAGGTTTAGAGCCACAAAACATGCAAATGACAAACTCCTATTCTTTCTACTGGTTTAAAAACAAACTCTCTGAATTTTGAAGAGCATAGTTTGGGATTTGGTGGCACTACAACCCTAAAAATAAAAGGGATTTGGAATGTACTTTTAATTCACTTCACTACAAGCAGATTCAAAAACACACCTTACAGTAAACTTGCTCTGTATTTCTGCACAGGGCCTCAGAAGCCCTGCAGCTTCTGGGACGGATCAGATTCAATATTAGTTATTTTATTGGCCAGTTATTAAGAAGTGTAATAAAAATGCACCACTGAACAACTAAATAACTTCTGTAGATGTAGTCAGACATCACAGAAATTAGGGCTTAAGTTGGATTTCACTACCTTGACTTTACGTGAGTGGAGTCTCATAGCCTGAATAGATGATTATTAGGCTCGAGCACTACTAAAGCTATTAATCCCAACTATTTTTAAAACAGTATTAACACAATTTTAATATTAAAATTGTTCAAATGTGGTCAGCATTAAGACCTTAAAGACTTGCATGCTGACTTGAACTTGAAACAGGCACCAATAGATGTTTCTTAAAACTGTGTTAAAGTGTGGATAAAGGTGGATCTTAAACATGTGACATCTTGTTGTTGTGTAAATAAACACATTGTTTACACGTGCTGCACTGTTTTCCTGTTGCGTGCAGAGGGTTTGATTTCCTGTTTGTTTCTCGTGTGTAATTTTAGGTTCGGAAAGCTGCTTCTCCTTCTTCCCTCTCTGCGTTTCGTGAATTCGGAGCGGATAGAGCTGCTGTTCTTCCACAGGACCATTGGAAACACTCCCATGGAGAAACTGTTGTGTGACATGTTCAAGAACTAAAACTATGACCCAGAAACCCATGCAGTCGTCAGTAACCTCCAGGTTTGGAGGGGTGATATTTGACAGATATTTGCTTTGTATTTCTGTATACATATCAGAGATTCTGCGTGCTGTTATTTTATTTTATTTTTTAAAAAGGCCACTTTATTGTTTGTTTCCACATCAGGTCATTCTGAAAATGCAATTCAGTTCTTATCATCATGCTTGCTGTCTATCATATTTAGACTCGAGTCTGAAGTGACTCACGATCACGTTTTGTCTTCTAGTATTTCCTTTATTCTTGTGTTTTATTTTTGTGACAATGCAGATCTTTATTTGTTTGGTGATAGATGGACTGTATATCCCTGCTGTCATTAATGTGACTGTTATATTCATGTTGTCATGCCTTCGAGAAAGTAAAACTTGCTTGAAAATTGTTTTGGATTCAGTTTTTTTAATGAGTGTCACACCTCACAAGAGATGATGTAGCCTTCAGACTTTCACTAATAAAGGGAAATATTTCCTTGTGCATGATTTAGAGATAAGTATGTGGATGAGTTTACTGAGACCTGGGCCCTCCAATGCAGAGGCTCAATCAAACAGCGCCCTCTTCTGTCTGCTTTAACACACACAACATTATCTCAAACAAAGTCTTAAATATAAAATATAAATTGGAGTTGAGTCCCTTCAATCTGAGTTACAGATTTCCACTGTTAGAATCAATATGCCTTCTTTAGATGAGGCCAATTTCTTACTTTTATATTTCAATTACTGTATGGAAGAAAAACATATTGAGTTAAGGGCCTGTTACTAGATGCAAACTGGAGTCCTGTCTTTGGGTAATAAACATGCCTGGAGAGGCTCTGTGGTCATCTTGTTAAGAGATGGATGGATGGATACAGTGAAAGATGGGGGGTTAACATGAGAAACAGTACAGTACAGACAGGCTGTCATTTAAAAAATCAGAAATAAAAAAGAGAAATAGCATTAGTTTTTGCATTTAACAAATAATGTGTGAAATGATTATTAAGGCAACAGTGTTTTAACCATGATTTAACCATGAACATCGGCCTGTGAGCTCAGACCCACTAGGGGAACAATGACCAAACATCAGGGACAAGAAAACTTTTAATTTGTCAAAAAAGAAACTGATCATGTTTGTATGATTGTTAAAATGATAAAAACACATAATACAGACAGAATTGTTTATGCACAATTCACATTAGTTAACACTATGTAAATGTGCCAGATTCCATCATACAGGCTAATTTTCATTTGATGTGTGTATAAAATTTCATGGCAATCCATCCAGTAATTGTTGAGATATTTTAAGTCAATAGTCGGACTGACTGACATATTGCTAGCATTGTTAAAAATACCAACCAACTAACTAACATCACTATAAAAAGACTCTCGACGTCTTTGTGATCCACTCAGTTGAAATTTGTGTAAATTTAACATCACAAAACCCATTTTTTTAAGGTAAATGTACCAAATATGATATATATATATATACATCTTCTACGTTCTGCATAGTGACAGTCTTACTGTAATACTCAAATTAAGTGTTCTCCACTTTGAAATGAGATGTGAAAGCAGATAGTGACAGTTGGTGGACATCAAACAAATGTCAGCTTGATAAGAGTTGCACTCAGTATTACTTTTACCTTCTGATTCAAACACATGAAAAACATCAGAGCAGCAGAAGTGAACGCAGGGAGTGGACACATCAAACGCTTTATTTGACTTTCATAAACCAGTGCTGCAACTAAAATACGTCTTAAATTGAGCTTTAATTCAGGAGTTTGATGAGGCAGGAATAGCATCCATGTTGAAACAGCAGCAGCTGAGCATTGTGGGTGCAGCGAGCGGCCCTTCGAACGCCCACACAGTCAGAAAATTCTGGGATCCGATCAGCTGGCCCTCCGCAGCCTCTGTCATATGAGCAAGCTCACAGATCCAGATTTAGAAACTTTGAACTGCTGATTTCACAGCAAAAGTGCCCAGTAGCTGAAAATATACCTTTAAATAGACTTTACGAGGCAGTAAATGAACAATAGCAGGTTTAACTGGAACACTGAGGTTGTTTTTATGCTCCAGTTTGGTGAATTTAAGGTCTGAGATGTGTGTTTGTCCTCTGATCAGTAAACTATATCTCCTTCCTTTCTTCTGTTTATATCATAAAAATAAAACACAAGCCTGCAGTGATCCTGAACTGAGGCTTTACCTCACGTGTCAACATTCTTATTTTGGCTTTTTCTAAGCTCTCATCACACAAAGGTTTCCCTTGTTTGAAATGAGAGGTTTCATCTTATTATGAGATTAGTCTCTTAAGTAACAGGCAGAGGGAGGTGAACACCACCACACCACCAGCACAAGACTGACATAACCCGAAAAAGGAAACCACACAAAGTGCTTTTATTTTAATGTGAATACAAGAACAATAAGATATTAAATGTATCAGACATTATAACTGTAATAACATGAAGTGAGAGGGTGGTGTCTCACTTCATCAGCCTGATTTTAACACACAGAGAAGGAAATAATAATGTAGAGACACTGTGAGAGCAAGACAGTTCACACTATTTATGACATTTCAGCACAAACAGGACCTTCTTTGTTGAGTCCCTTAAAGCTGCATTTTCATAATGGATTTGATCTGCCGTTTATTTCTTGTTCGGTTCCCAAAATGTGGGAAATGTGAAGTTTCCCAGGTTAGAGTACTGAACTGGAAACATAGGCTCCTGAGAACAAAGGATCCTGGGAACATAGGACACTTCTGAGCCCAATGTGACACATTTACAAGGAAGAAATCAGTAAATCTGCACATTTTTGCACAAAAAACGATTTTTAAAATAAATAGTTGCCATGAGAATCAATATTACTTCAAGGAGCAGTAGAGGTCACTTTACTTTTTCTTCCTCCACTTCTTCTCTTATTCAGTGTAATGTTGACCTCTCTCTCTCTCTCTCTCTCTCTCTCTCACCCCTCTTACTCCCCTCTGTGCAGTTGTTAATCTGCTGTGTTTGAGCTCTCTGTTGAACTGGAATGTGTCTGGGTGTTTGGGCCAAACTGTCCCGACACGTTGCAGCACCAGCAGATCACGGCACAGTGAGGTTACCCGAACTAAAGGAGGATCCAGGAGTCCTCTGGATCTTTTAATCACCCTGCTTCACCTGTTTGACTCGACTGAACAGCTGCAATGAATAACAGCAAGGTCGAATTCGAGCCTTTTGAGTATTCCTACTATGATTATTCAGACTGGTACTCGAACAATGCCGAGCCAACCAAACCACCGAAAGAGTGAGTATAGAACCCTTCTGAATGTGTGATTTTCATTCTTATTTTGATTATTTTGTCGTTGAATATTCATTCTATGTACAAGTGCAATGTGGGAATTAATCAATGGATGGCAGGTAGATTCATAATAGCAGAAAGGTGGTGATTTTAGGTGATTTTACTTGTTATTGTGCTTAATTTGAACAAGCAGTTCTAGTAGCCGGTAAACAATCACAGGTAAATTAAACCTGAGCAACCTTGAAACCTTGAAATTGCAATTAATCAAATAAAGAAACAATAAACTGTAAACAGGAAACTGTAAAAAGCTAAATGTGGTTGTCTTTTTGTCACAGAGTTATTCTACCATGTGACCCCACAGTGGACGACAAGCTCTTCCACATATGCATGCTGTCGATATCGGTAAGTATGTAAAAAAAAGTAACCATAAGTCTGAAAAGGCTCCAAAACTTTTAGTTTTTTGACCCTTTATAGCCAAGCAGTATCTATTAAAATGTGTTTTTCTATAAACTGTGAGCTTATGTATTGTAGTGTAAGTATTGTTGTGATGTAAGTGCAGCTTCAGTCAGAATCAGAATAAATACATAATCACACTATTGTATCCATGATAGAGTACTTGTACTCTGGATTAAACTTGGTGTGTTTAGGGCTCATTTAAAGCCACACTCTGGTATTCACAGTTAATGAGATAGTTTAGAAAGAGTGGCAGACAAGAAGTACGACTGTTTAAAAGTCTATGGTTGTAAATGAAACTGAACAAACAAACACAAACAAACAAACGAAAAAAACAAACTCTTCTGCGCTCACTATGTGTGTAGCCACATAGCAGTGAGTTAAACACATTTCTAATAAAGGCTGCAGGCTTTACCATAAACACAAGTTTGACCAAAAGTTATTATAAAAATAGAATGAGTACAGCAATACTGGATTCAAAAAAGTAGAGACTAATTAAATGTCAAATTAGCTAAACTGTCCCTCGTGCTAGAAAGATACATCATCAGCATGTTAATCTAGGAAAGACTGAAAGATTAAAATACACCACAGTGAACCCAACATTAGTTTAATAGCTAACTGCTATTTAGACTGTTGTATTAGCAACACACATTAGCCACAGACAGCTAGCATAGTGGCTAGCTTGGGTAGCTAATCACCGAAAATTTGAAATGACCTAAATTTAATATCAGTAAACAAAAGATTTACATCATCATCCTCCTAAACCCTGAGTACACAGTGAGAGAGGATCTTTGTCCTCTATGGATCCGTAAAATGTCTTTGCTTCCAGCAGACGTTCAGTTTAATGATGGCTTTTCATTCTTGTTCAATCACCCAATTACAAGTGAAGGCCTCTTTACCTCGGTCAGGAAGCTCCTCGTACTGTACACAGAATGTACACTGTTTAATGTCCACGTTCAGTCAGTGATGAGCAATGAAGTGTGACAGCTGGGTCGCTGCAGCTGATTGGAAACAACAAGACGTCCTCTGCAAAATGAGGTTATTTATTTGAGGCACTCACGATCTACACAATTGCATCAACAAAGCTTTGTTGTTTCAAAAAGTTTCATAGTTTTAGTGAGATACTGTAGCTGGCTGTGCTAATCAAGTTTTGTAGACTAGAAAAGGTCACATTCCTGTCCCATAATGAGGTACAGTATAGCCTACAGTATGACTTACTGAGCTCGAATCTGAGCTCAACATAAACACCAGATAGCTTCTGTAGCTATTTTATGTCTAGGAAGTCACCAGCTAATCAGATTCAAGTTTAATTTAACTAAACCTTTAAAAATTCAATAAGAAATCACAAAAAACAGAAGAATTCAGAATCTGTGGTCTGAAGTCTTGCTGTATGTGCTTTCTCCCTGCAGCTGGTGATCATGTTAATCCTCGCAGTTCTTACCAGGAAGAACAAATTCTGCCAAGGATTCACGAGAGGATCCTCCAGTATCTTCAGGTGAGTTCAGGAAGGTCTAGAGAAAAATATTAGCAAGCTTTGTCTCATATCATCTGAAATGGTTCCCCTGTATGATCTTCTACAGTCCAGCCAACTTTCTGGACCAGACTCAGAAGAAAGGTCTCGTTATGGCTATTTTCGGACTCGTGTTCAGCAAGCTGTCGATGCTGGTGATCGCCCCGGACCCGCTGCCTTTCTCCAAAGACACTCCGGCAGAAATTAAAGGTGGACACATTGTTGTGTTTGATTCGTCCAGAATGGAGCTTTGTGTTGTGTTCTTGTGCTTCGATAATAGACCTTTCTCACATATTTTTTGATTAAATCGTGGATAATTAGATAATTAAACAATAAAATGTGTAATCTGTTATTTGTTATTTAAAAATAAAATTCAGGGAACACAATTCATTAATTCTTTTTACAATGAATGTACACAATAAGTAGTAACTGGTAGGCAGTGAAACAGCTGACAAGATTAAATAAAAACAGTATTGATTATATGAGATTTGACCTGAAGCCAAATCTAGGATAGGATATAAAAAAAGACACAGTGACTGAGCAATAATCAGATAGTGGCTTTAATTTAAGTTTTATTACATTTAAGTGAACTAATCTAAGTGGAAGAGTCATGAAAGTGTGATTTGAGGAACTGAGAAATAAGAGTTTGAGAGGCAACTGGAACAGTTGTTTAGTAAATGAGTCACCTGTAGGAATGATTTCATTTATTTATTTCAACCCTTGTTTTTCAGAGTACATGAAGATAATCGCCATTTTCTACTATCCCGTCCTGTACTATCCTCTGATGGTCTGCAGCACTCTGCAGCACAAAGCAGGTTATGTGTTCGGGACGCTGCTCTCCTTCACTCACTTTGGGGTCCTGGTGTGGCAGAAGTTTGACTGTCCAAAGACTCCAGAGGTGAGACACCGACATCATGTTAATGTGCCCCAGACAAAGGTTTTTATCACGATACAAGTAGTTCTTCATTTCAATATTGAACTATTATTTAACCGGACAGGAATATTTGCTTTAGAGTGTAGTAAAAGAGTGAATTAAAAGTACTTTGTCTTATTGATGCAAAAAACAAATTTCAAATTCAAATAATGTTACAGTTTATATCATCATATTGTCCACCTATATTCCACGAGCAGGATTAGGAAATGTTTGATGTAAAGCCACCTGGTGGTAGTTTTTTAAACATTAATTAATTTCCTTTCGCCACTTGAGGGCAGCAGAGCAAGCTATAAACACAATACAGACATATTATCACCATATAAAGTTGTTAAAGTTAACGTGTTAGCATGTTTCTATCCACCAGGAGTCCAATATTCACTCTCTTTTTTACCTTGTTTTGGTCTCCACCAACAAGAACAAATTTGTCTCTTTAGCTCTGCTACACCAGCTAGTCTCTAACTCTGTAATTCGGTGCTGCAGAGGTTCTGTATAATGGCTTCATATAAAGCGAAGATTATCTGGACTAACCAGGACATCACTTCTGTGTTTTAGCACCTAAAAGTAATTCGCCTCAGTTGATACATAAAATATCTTAAAACATGGCTGAATAAGGGAAGGGAGGTGAATCGCTTCTTTAAAAGATAACATTCATACCATTCTTCCTCCTCACAGATCTATAAGTACTACGCTCTGCTAGGTAGTCTTCCTCAGCTGGCCTGCCTCGCGTATCTCTGCGTCCAGTTTCCTGTGCTGTTTGTCAAAGGACCAAAGACGGATGAGGTGAGTAAAAGTCAGAATACAGACCACAAACATTCAGATACATAAAGAACCATTTATCCTCCGTTTAAAACACAGCTGCACCTTGTTTTCTGCTTTATGACGTATGTATAAATACTCAGACTGTTTCTGGTGCAACTGAAGAACATGAATTTCCACAATGTAGAACATAACCGTGATTACTTTAAGCAGCTTGTGCAGAATAGTGTGGGTTTAACTCAGCGTATCTGAGCAGATTATGACGAGGGAGGTGATATTTTTTCCCCCTTTCAGACATATTGAATCAACAGAGTTTTTGTTTTAACAGCAGGTTTAATCTGTCTACGGTTTAGAAGAAAAATCCCAGTGGTGAGAATATATAAATTAACAGGAAAACCAGCACTTTCAGTCACTAATCTTTAATTTTACCTTTAAAATTGTCTTTTAATTGTTGGAGCTCATTCATTAAGAATGATACACAGACTGAAGCTCACAGGAATTTGCAACATTAAGAATATAAAGGAGAATAATTTTACCTTGAAATGAGGTTGAACCCTCAATGATAAAATAAATGATACCCTTTACCTTCTACTAATAACATCCTCTCATATATCAATCAGACTTTATTTTAGTGCAGTGCTGATAATAGGACAGAATGAATGTTGACCACAATAGAAAAACATAAAAAATAAATAAAAATTAGATTAGACAAATCTAAAAATACAGTACTAACATAAAAATGCCAATACAATACAATAAAGTGGATTAAACTCAACAATAAGTAGTGTTTAAAACTACAAACGTGATCAAAATAGAATAAGAAGACAAAACAAAATAATTAAAATAAATACAATTAACAATAAAATACAATATTAATAGAGAGTAAAGGAACATAATATGATAAAAATCAGTTTTCTTACAAATTATTATTATTTGCTTTCTGTCGATATCTTGGAATATGATCTGGTTTAAGTGAAGGTCGAGTAAATAGAAACCCAAATAAAAACAGTTCAGATAAAATAAATGAAGATAATAGCAGGTTTTATGTTTAAGATTTCAGTATCATCATAAGTGATTCCTCAATGTGTTTTTGGCTCACAGGACCTCGACAGCCGCTACTACACCGATTATGTGAAGTTACTTTTTAAGAAAAGGTCCTCAACTGCCAGGTGAGCAGAGATAAAAGTGGTAAACTGCCATGTGTATTAACATATATGGGCCTATCTAATTCAGATTCATTGTGATTAAATCTAAATATAAATAAAGAGCCTTCATCCTGTACGTGAATAACATGATTCGTTCTGTGTTTTTATATGTTGCAGCTCTTCATCTACAGACAAACCAACGCTGGCTGAGAGAATACTGGAGGTGCCTAAAAGTTACATTTACATACCAGAAAAAGGTTTGTGCACTTATACAGATACAAATATACATGTTTTAAATTAACAATGTTCTTATTGCAGTAACAATTTTTATTTCTGTCTCAGTGGAAAACTGCTTTTGTATCCCTAAAGTTAAAGTGTGTAACATTACATAATAATATTCCTAGGAAAGTTTGTATTAGTGTATAATCACCTGAATATAGGAATCGACAGACGGATATTTCAAATTATATTCAATGTGTACCAATAACAGAAGAAAACAGATGATAAAATGTACAATAAACACAACAACTGCAGCAAGTTTGTGTAAAACGAGCGATTTTGGTGAATTTTAAGCAGATTATTTCCTGTAAATATTGATCAGAGATGTGTTCTCCTGATATTTTTAGGAACGTCTTCTACAATTCTGTCTGCAATATGTAATTTTTTTTCATTTTTAACAATCATAGAGACTTAATAGGCTTAATTTATGACTAATTCAGTGTTTTTTTTCTCATTATTATATCAGCTCTTTAGTTGTATTAACACAGAACTGAATAAAATGCAGCTATTGGCCTACTGTTTGTTTTCTAGCTCCCCTTAAAATCAAGAAGGCTTCGCGAACCCCCTGTGAAGCTTGGGCGACCCCTAGTGAGGAGTCCCGACCCCAGAGACTAGATAATGATTTTATTTTGTCTTCCAGTGTTTCGTTTTCCTCTAAAGCTCGCTGTATCAGCATTTGTTGCCTTTGTGGCGATATATCACGTAAGTCTTCAGAGAATCAGACAGAATACGGTTGCTGCTGTTTACCTGCGTGGAACAATAAATACATCATGTGTTCACCTTTCAGGCGGCGCTGTTGTTAGTCGTCCTGGTGGTCCCCACTCTCCATATTGTCCGTGCTGGTATTGATGAAAACATCGCCTTCCTGTTACTCGGGTTTGGGATCGTTCTGTCAGACGACAGAATGGAGGTTGTTAAAATCGTGACCTTCTATACCTGGTTGCTGGAAGGTATGCGGGGATTTTTAACTAAATCTTGAAGAGTATCGTTATAAAACAAGCAACTGAATTCATTTTTTTCTTTTTGTTCATGTTGTTTCTGTCAGTGTGCTACCTCTGTGCGATGACCCTGTCTTGTTTGGTCAGTCTCATCATGCTCATGAGGTCCATGATACTTCACAGGTAAGAGGAGTCACTGCTGAACAATCTCTTAAAGAAGTTGTAAGTTAGAAATACGATGAAGTAGAGACCTCATTTACAGTGTAGCTCGGTGGTTCCCAACCTGGGTTGCCCAAGCTTCTGTGTTTCATTTAGTTCTGTGTAGACAACTATATGAAAGAATTATTTTTAAGGTTTAGATTTTTATTTAAGATCTGACCTGAACACCAGCTGATAAACAGCCTCGTCCTCCATTAGAAAAATGAAAACAACCAAAGAGCTTATAGAGCAATGAGAAAAAAACAATGAATGAGTCAAAAATAGAAGCCTATAAAGTATCTATGATTGTTAATATTTACAGAAAATAATCTGCTCATTTTACACAAACTTACTAAAATTGTTGTGTTTTTGTATATTTTATTATCTGTTCTGTTCTGTTATTTTTATGCACTGAATATATTATGTAGTATCTACTATATATTTTTGTTGGGAAATCGTCATTAGGTGACGATAATAAAGGGGTCTCTTCAGGAAAAAGGTTTGCAGGAGCTGCTATAGAAGAAGTTATGATACAGTGAATGTGTTAACAGTTGTCTATTTACATATCTTTGTAGACACAGAGCAACATTAGTATCCATGTGGTCACCTGATAAATGGAAATCTGTATACTGAAGAGAATAATAAGCTCTGTGATTGGATGTTTCCCCCATGTAATGCTTCAACCAGGAGTTTTATGCCCATCAAAGTGCTGAAAACAGCCAATATTTGACTCCCAGGCCTTTCCTGTCTGAACCTAATGTACCACTGGTTGTAATTTCTTACAGGTCAAACCTGAAAGGACTGTATAAGGGAGATATTTACAGCATTTATAACAGCCAGAAGACCATCCGTCCCTCTAAACCCGGCATTGTCTGTTGGATGGGCTTGACGGGATACCAGGCTGCGATTGTCTGCGTCGGTAAAGCTCATCATCAGTGGTTTTAACTTTATCTAAAAAGAGATGAACACGAACAATGATTTGATCTGACTAGCAAGAGAGAAGCCAAAATCTGAAGATCATAGAGCTCCAAACTATTAAAAACACACACACACACACACACACAAACCTACACACACACGCAGACAGACGTGTGTTTTGACTCAGTTCCACATTCACCATCCTGCTGCCCCAAATACTCACTGGAGCACTAAATTTAATCCACAGCTGAAAATAGTCCCCAACAAAACACTATCTGTACTCACACTTGAGTAACAGTTCAATAGTTCAAATACAGAATAAAACCATCCTTGTCTTTTAATTAATGCTGGAAGCGAGTGTGAATACCTTAATGGAAGTGTGTTAAAAATGTCCTTTTCTCTGTGTTGTGTTGGCAGGAATGGCTATTCAGACTGTTGTGTTTTTCATCTGCTTCTTGTTCCTGGTGTTTTTGATCATTATCCCTGTTTTCTACGGTCGCAATATCATCGTCTTTGAAATCGCAGGAAAGGCATGGTAAGTCAGCAACCTTTTCATCATCAGATCATCGATCAAAACAGAGATTAAAGTTCATTTTATTTTTTTTAATTTTCCACCTTTGTGATGTCTCAGGCCGGCCTGGGTCACTCTGCTGCTCGTTACTGTGCTTCAACATGTGACTGCTAAGTTTGCTTTCATCAAAAAGGAAGCTGGTACGAGAGACTTGAAGAACAGGTAACTGAAGTCTAATGACAACAACTATGTCTCATATCACATTTAAATCACACATTTCCAAAATATAAGCATGTTAAATATATATTTCCAATAAAGAAAATCAAACATCAGCTCTAAGTGAACATCGTAAAGCAATAATCTATATTCAGTCCACAAGGTGATGAGGTTCTCGGAGCATTTTAATAAAACCATCTTACGTAAATAAATATTTTGTGGTAATTTCCAGGGAGAGTCTGTTTCTTCTGACGTACCTGCTGTTCCTCATCAACACCGTGGTTGGACTGATCGCCGCAATATGGAGAGTCGTGATAACAGCTTTGTACAATATCGTCCATCTTGGTCGTATTGACATCAGTCTGCTGCACCGCACTGCAGAGTCCTACGACCCAGGTATAATATTATTTCATAGGTTTTTAAACTGCTAATTGATGGCAGTTGTATCCTATTGCACTGAGTAATAAGATAAATCAAGCTTTAGGTAGACTGGTCCTTGATCTTGGTCTGACCATGCTCTGTGACCTTTCACCCCATCCAGCCTACCGGTACTACACCCACTCCCTGAAGGTGGAGGTCAGCCAGTCACACCCGGTGATGAAAGCTTTCTGCGGGCTGCTGCTGGACATGATGATCGAGTGCGGTCGAGTTGGGCAGAAAATAAGAGATGCAGAGGAAGGTAGAGGCACTGAACTGCACACATGGACATAAATAATATGTATATTGTCACATGAATGCAGCTCAGCTTTACATCTAAACTGCAAATTCATAGATTTAATTATAATGCAAAGACTTACAGTACTTAATATACAAGTCTAAAAATCTAGCTGCTGTAATGCCACACCGAGGCTGTAATGCTTTTGAAAACTCAAAATAATATAGTTTAATGAATGAAAAGCTTAAAGACAGTAATTCTTAGATCCTTGCGTCTGGTCGGGGAAGAGCCTGCCTCAACCATTGACAAGAAAGCTAAACTGTCTCAACTATAGACTTTGTCAAATGGAAAGGTTTGATGATGGCTGTACCAAATTATGTGACAAGACATTTCTTTTCAAACCACAAATGTGAAAAAAAAATTGTCAATCATACTGTAATAATATGACTAATAATTACAATAATTTAGGTATTTTTTAATAAAACTATGAAAACCTAAACAGCTTAATGTACAACACTGAAACAAGATGACTTTCTCTTAAATTATAACAAGCAAAACCCAACTTGTTTTAATCTTCCACAGGGTTTTTATGGATTTTCCCGAGGTTTCTTATCCCAATTTAAATGTTTATAAAGCATGACAACCACCAGGATTCATACAGTGACATTCAGTATCTTCATGGACCCTCAACCTCTCAGTTTTGGTGTCTCGTTCTGCCCTGACAGCCTGCTCCTCCTTGCTTTCAGGGATTCAAGAGAACAGGCCGAGCAAGGCGACCAGCCGTCGGAGGATCCGCTGTCGCTGGCAGCTGCTGTACACGCTGGTCAACAACCCGTCCCTGCTGGGCTCCAGGAAGCACTTCCAGACGCTGCAGACCTCGGAGAGCATCCTGAACGGGACCCCGAACCACAGCTCCAAGAAAGGCAGCATGAAAGAGGCTGCCGAGCCCGTCCAGTCCACTGAGACCCCAACAAACCAAGATAAAACTGATTGAGAACCCTAATATATATATTAAATGTATAGTGTTGTTGGCAGTATACTCCAAACAAAATTGTATTTAGCAAATACACAATGTAAACTTCTCAAGCTGGAGAAACCTGTGAGTCACATTCTACAAAACCCTAGATTATATTAAATTATTATTATTATTAAACTGTTCACTTTCTACAGATGAAACACAGTGATAATGGCACCTTAAAGGTCCAGTGTGTAACATTTATGAAGCTCTATTGCTTGTTAGAAATGGAATATAATGTTCATCAGTATCTGAATATAAGAATCTTTGTGTTTTTGTTACCTTAGAATCTTTCTTATCACCATGTTGAACCTCAATGTTTCTACAGTAGCCCAGAACGGACAAACCAAACACTAGCTGTAGACGGACTCTTATCTTCTTATCTCATGTCTCTTAGTAGCATTAGGATGTGTTTTGAGACGTCCTTTCCTTTCTTCTCATTCCCAGGTTGTCAAATCCTGACATGAGCAGGGTTCAGTTATCTGCAACTGCACAACTACATGCCACTAAATCCTACACACTGGTCTTTTAAGCTTTGGCTCACAGTGACAGGGCTGGTGATCAGAGACAATGTCATTGTTGTTTTGTTGTGTTTGGAGTATACTGTCAGATGATGGCACTAGAATAAACTAAGGGTTGATCCAAATCAGATATATGGTGACCGACGTAAAAGACACATTTGTTGTTGCCATAGTTTAAGCTCGAAATGTAGCTTCACCAGTAAGATCTAACATATCTGGTACGGATGTATTTGTCCTTCATTACAGAGTGTTTGGGTAAGAGCTGCAAATCCTGGATCACCCACAAGGCAGGTGGATCAGGTGTCTCAAAGTCTCAAAAAAACTATTATATTGGATATTGGATCACTTACCAAGAAACTAAATGAATGGACTACAGCACCTACCAACTTGTTATATGAGAGAAGTAAACTTTCATTGTGTTTTGCAGTGCTGTTCAGGCCTTTATGGATTATTATTGACGTGTTCAGTGCCAGTGCTGATTAATTAGCAGTGTCAGAACCCGAGATAATGAGTCAATAAGAGGTCAGAGACCATTTTTGCCTCGGGTTAATGCGGTTATGTCAACACATACTGGTTTTCAATGTGTCCAGTTGGTTGTTCGAGGGGGTTTGTAAGATCATGGATCAAGAATGAGGCAGTTTCTGGGTTAAAAAAAAAGCTGGAATTTAATAAGAGATCAATCACATTCTCCATCGTAACCTTTGGGTTTTACGCGACTAATTACAATGTAATATCTAAATGTGGTTTGTTAGAAGTTTGTCTACTTCACTTTCAGCTTCATAATTATTATAAGATGAATCCTGTGATGGGATATTGAGGTTGATCATATTGCATATTTTCACACACAGATTATATTTTCTGTTATTTCCTATATGATATTTTAAAGGATACACAAATAGACATGTTTTTCAAATGTTTGACAAGTGACTGCTGATCCCATTTTAAGATTATAATGAAATAAATGTGTAAATATATCACAATGTATGAAGTGTTTATTATATCTTTATATAATGTTATAATTGGATCTAGTTAATAAAAGTTTAGTTTTTATTCATCCCATCCTGCTAACGTTCAATTAATAACTTTATTATATAACCTATAAATACATTATTATCCAATCAAATCAGAAAAAAAATCATATTTTTTGTAATTGACATATGGGTTAATGGCACATAAGAGTCTTTTACATTTACAAATTTATTTATGTTTTATGTTTGTGTCAAATTAAAAGTACTCACTCCTTTATATTTTAATATCTTACTATAATATTTTTCACATATAGTGGTGTCTTGTAATCCCAGGGTTAGGGTTAGGGTTAGACGTACCAAATGTAATGTAATATCATTATTTATCAGGAAAACTAGAGACAGAATCATTCCTTTGTCAAAACTTTATTGAGGCACATAGGATTTAAGTGAGTTAGTGAGGGTATTTAAACACTTTGGTAAAAACATACTGTTTCCTTTATTACAGGGGGTATAAAACAGAAATAACAATAACAAACATGGACCCGAAGTCAAGAATTCAGCATACAACAGACAGCATGCAGGTCTTCTAACACAGAGATACAACAGGATGGACACATGATGACCCAGATACAACTTCACATACACACTCAGAAGTGCCTTTACTGTTAAACACTGCAGTAGACTGGGACAATATTTAACTAACCTGTCCACATTTTTACCAGCGAGACAGCGAGAGAGTTTAGATTTATTCAACATGAAAACAGTAATCTTATCACAGTGTTAACTGGACAAAAGAGCTCACAGCTGCAGGACAACAATGGTTTCCTCTTTGGAACAACACAGTTAATCTAAACATTTAAACTCCCTCGTGAGAGAGTTGAGTTTCTGTATTTTAAAGCTACTGCACTCCTAAAACCACAGCACACATTTACTGCAAAAGCAGATTATTGGTTAGTCACAGTTAGGCCATTTACTACTGCCTACGTCTAGCTGACATTTTGCAATACATGTCGCATGTGGCACAAGCTTTGTTACGTTTGTTCTCACGCGTCTCTCTTTTTTATGTCGTCGCCATCCTCGTCCGGACACCATTTGGCAGTTTGTTCTGTGCTCTCGTTTCCTGTTCATTTAATAGCTGTTTATTAGGAACAAATATGCTCTAAATAAACAGACAGATGCGATAATATATTAATACATTTTATAAGATTATTTCCTGGCAGAAACTTCCATTTCTTCCTCTGGGTGTTTGAGCTGTTGAAATCGATCAATTTGGGCAAATAATGTCAGTACAGAGACCTATTTGTTTAATTCAGGGTTGACTTTATGGACGGCGCTGTCCCTGTCTCAGAACATTTTGGCAATTTGGGGTCAATTTGGCCGAGTCCCAGCTACATTTTGCAGCTCAGCCTCGTCTTCTAGAAAGAGAAACGTTTGTGAATTAGAATGAGAATTTTCTCTTTAAATAATAGGTTAATTGCTGTTCATTAACGTACCTTAAATGTTTACTGACTACATATTTAATTTGTTTTCTGCCAAAATAGGCAATAATATTTGCTCATAGTGACTACAGTATTATTCAAAAGTCAGCAGTGATTTGAGACATAAGCCAAAATCAAAGTGCTTTTTTGCCTCTTTGTGACTCAAAAAAAGTTGTCTGTGAACATAATCCTGACCGGTATTACAATGCTGTGATATGAAAACAAAAGTAATTTCTAAGAGACAGGGTTGTGCAGGTGTAAGAACGACTGTTACAGATTGCACAAGAGGCACTAATTAACTAATTAAACCCTCCTGGTTCACTGTGATGGATTAAAACTGAAATATATAAAATATAACCTCTTGTCTGTTTGTCTGTGGGAAGTGGACAGAACAACAGAAAAGATTTCAGTGGTAGAAATTTAAACTTTCAACTTTCTTTATAGGATTTCTCTTACAGAATGACTGATGTTTCTTATGAACTAGTGCACTTACTTAAATAAATTGAATAAATAATAATAATAATACATTTGCTTTATTCCATGATTGTCTGTCACTGTCTAGATTTGGACCCAGATGCACATTTTAACATTTCTTAGCCTTTTCTATTATTTCTGCATTCTGTGTGCTTTTCTTTTTTAGGACACCAACTAGTTTACTCAAGCTGTTAGTAAGCCAGCTGTTTTTTATACCCTGTTTGTGCTAAGCTAAGCTAATTGGCTGTATCTGCGCATTTACTGGCGGACATTACGAGTGGTACTGGCGTTCTCCTCCTCTCCTGACTACTCCTTTAAATGCTGCTCGTGCTCTGAGGAAGGCCTCTGGCCGAAACACATCATCAATAATGTCTTAATAAAATATGAAACCTCTTTCTACTTTTCTACTCTCTCTGGAACACAAACTGGTTGTATCTTTGTATGCCAGAGCAGCTTTTTTTAGAAATATACATGAATGAATTACAATTTAAAAAGAAGAAAACAAGCTGTGATATCCAGAACCCATCAGCTAACATCTGACAACAATTTAGTGGACGATGTTTCAGGAGTTCTGGTGTAGCGACTTCCTTCCTTCATTGTTTACAGTCCGATTAGCAACTTGAGATTTGATCCAGAGGACATTTCAGCTAATATAATACAAAAAAAAGATAAATTGTTGTCATACGACAGGTGATCGGTTCTGAGATTGTATTTCAGCCACCTCTTTGGTGATTGATCAACACGACTCACTTTTGATGCCAAAATCTAGTCCTTTGCCTCCTGATTCTGCCTTCATATGCAAATAACTGTGGAGATTACAACAAGGGTAAAATAGCTTAAACCAGGGCTGATTCACTAAAACGTTGGTAGCTGGGTTTTCCTGTAATGCAGCTTAGGGTGAGGTTTAAAGCGTGTACATTACTTTGAGTCTTGTCACTGAGGAACAAAGCAATATTTCTAGAACAGACCCTAAACTATTGGCACAAACTGATTTTAACCTGTTTTAACCATATGCAAAAAGAAACTACAACTGATGATTATGTCAGAAACAATTACTGATTTGGATATTTATAGTTGCTTATAATATTTACTGCTTCAGCCCCCAAAGGTAACCTATCGCTGTACTCAGATCCTACCTCACAGTTATCTAAATTCCCCCTGCACTGAGACAGACTAAAGGACTCGGTCATGATGCTTTCTTCTGTATCTGCCTCCCTCTCTCCGTCTCTGCTCTCCGTCTCTCCCTCCTCCTCATCCAGCTGGCTGCCGTTGATCTTCCTCTGAGACTCGGTGTGAGAACCGTGGATGTTGAAGTTGGCGGCGAGGTTCCTCTCCATGTGGTACTGGTCTTTGGCCTTCAGGATTAGCTTGTAGGTCTTGCTGCGGTATTTGTACACCAGGTGGAAGCACGTCGCACCGAGGAGAGGCACGGTAGACACAGTGAGGAGGCAGATGCTGACCGAGATGATGATGAGCAGGTTAGGCACCCTCCTCCTGGTGGTGAACAGCACCTGGACCTCACAGTCCTCCCCTCTGTAGGTCAGACACAGGGAGTAGTTGGTGCCAGGACGGAGGCCGCTGAACAGATACGTGTTGACGCCCTCCTTGATCCTCGACCACTGCACGGCTGAATGTTTGCGGTCAGCGGTGACGCACAGATACAAGCCATTTGAATGGACTTCAGAAGCGTCTGAAAGCCCATGATGCTCTTCGCTGTCAGCCTGGAAGCTCTCGGATGAGGCGGCGGCTGCGGGGGCCCTGTTGACGCTCCTGTCTCTGGGTATAAGAAGAGGGTTGAGTCGCACTGTCGCCTCTGTTTCTGACACTCCTAAAGCGATGACTCCAAAGTCAAACGTGTACTGCTTGATGTCATCCAGGCTCCCGTTGAAGACGTGGCTAGAAATGTATCTCGTGTTAGCCGTCAAGCCACATTTAGTAGCACGTGACGGATATCTTGTTGCCTCCTCAGAAGACTTGATCTCCGCAGTGGGCGGGAAAGTGGGTACGACGTTTATAATTTCTTTTCTCATTAAATCTGGGAGATGCACAGAATCAACGACAGACGTTTTATCCGTTTGGTGTATAGATGGTGGCGTTCTAGAGTACGAAGGTGTTGTGGTTATTTGTTTCATGGGTGGTGGTTTTGGTGAAGCCACCACCTTCACTGACACCGAATCCTCAGCTCTTCCAAATTCGTTTGTGGCGGAGCAGCTGTAGTTGCCACCGTCTTCCTTCCTGAGGTGTGAAATGACAACAGTGCCGTTGTTAAAGACTTTGACATGATCATGGGACAGTAAGGAGGCCTCGTCTGGTTCTGCTGAGTCGTCCTCAGTGAATGACAAAGCCAGCTCTTGCTTCTGGCTTTTGCTGCGAATGCTCCACATGACCAGCGGCTTTGGGTTTCCTGTGAATTGACAAGTCAAGACCAGTGTGCTGCCCTCATAGAAAGTTTTGTTTTGAGTATTTGGCTCAATTCGTATTGTGACACTTGTGCTTGTGCACTTTGACTCGGGCAGTTTTCCGATCACTTCCCCTTTAAGTTTCTCCGGAGACGCACAAGTGATCAGATTCTGCTCTGGGACTGAGATGGTGGTTGTTGAAATCCAGTCTCTTAACCAGTCGAAGGAGCAGGTGCACACAAAAGGGTTTTTATAAATCTGCAGATAGGACAGAGACACCAAACCGTCAAACGTCCCTTCAGCTATGGTTGTGAATTTGTTATTGTTGAGTCGGAGGGACCTCAGGTCTTTGAGGCTGGATAGGGCATCCCTCGGCAGGTGGACCATCTCGTTGTGGTTCATCTTCAAAAGCTGCAGGCCCGTGAGGTTCTGCAGATCCTCCCAAGGAAAGTCTACGATTTTATTGTGGCTGACGTCAAAGTTACGCAGGTGAACCAAAGGCGTGAGGGCCCCTGGTTCGATGGAGACGATCTCATTGTGGGCCATCCACAGCGACGTCACCTGGGTGACATTGTCGAAGCTCCCCAGCGGTATCACGCTGATCCTGTTGGCGGAGAGACTCATGGTTGTAACATTAGGAGGAAAACCGTCTGGGACTTCAGCTAAGTCTTTGTAGGAGCATTCGGCAAAATGGCGGAAGTATTTGTCTGAGCAGGCACAGAGCTCAGGGCATCCAAGTCCGGTGGGGAAGACTGTGGTGAGCCACAAAGTGAAGTAGAGGATGTCTGCGGCCGCCATTTTCTGCCCCTGTAAAACAGTGTCACAGTTTGTCTGTCAATCAGTAGATTAAATGTATTATTGATTTATTTAGCGCATTTAAAAGGGATAATTCCACACTAGTTACTGGATGATCCATTTAAATCAAAATTATTACAGCAGAGGAGCAGTTTAAAAGAAAATAAAGCATCAAAACAAGATAAGACTTCAGCTTTAGAGACTGTTAGAGGGCTTTTTGGGGAGTTTCTCCTTGACCTGAAAAGGGTCTAAAGATAGAAAGTGTTATATGCTGCAGACTGTAAAGCCCTTTGCAGTGTGCAGTTTGAGTCAGATTAAAAAAGTTTCGATGGTGACAGGAAGAATAGGATGTATGCTGGTATATTTATTAAACATCATTCACCCTCATACATGATGTATGATACAGAAAATATAGATACAGAAAAATAGAAATGCATAGCAGAAATAGCATCATGTCTTATTAAGATTCTCCTCCTGTAGTTTGAATCCTGAGGCAAACCTTTGATTTTGGGTTATAGAAATAAAATTGACTTTGACTTGACTCATATCTTCTGATGGCTCATCCTCACTGTAGTAACATGAAAGCTATATCGGTGCTTCTGGGAATATCTGATATGTTTTTATTCTTATTCATTTGTTCTTGTTTTATTATGTTATTATTGTCATTTTATGTGCCTTGTTTGGTTGTTATTTTTTCCTTTCTACAGCACTTTTATACATTTTTTTAAGACAAGTGCTATATGAATAAAGTTTATTATTATTGTTATTAAAACTATGAGTTAACATGTACACCTCCAGCCAATTACATTTGCTGCATGCACCTCTCTCTATCTCTATCATGTCTGCCTCTTCACCTGTCTCTATCAAATAAAAATGCCTCAAACATTCAAAAACAAAACCTGTATCGCAGTCTGACAGTCCAGAAGGCCCTGTGGTGTCTGGGGAAAACAGCAACCTCACAGCTTATCCTAAAAACCGCCTCGCTTTCTCTTTGCCTTGAGGCTTTGCAGATGATATGTGTCATATCAGAGAGGAGACTCTTGTATGTTGAGTCATTGGCAGAAGCGTCTGGTTTGCAGCTACGCAGCCGCCTCCGGAGCTCTGTCCCCGGTGCTGAAAGGCAGTCTGTCTGTCTCTGTTTACAGCAGTCTGCATCTGCTGCGTGCACTCACTCTGTAATGTCGCCTATTAAAACAACCACGACAGCCAATGCAACGAGAAAAACAACAGGATCAAAGTTCACCTCTGCAGGAAAAAAAACGACGCAGGGTGCGCACATTAAGCATTGATGAGGATGAGGATGATGAGGGGGTGAAAAAGATCCATAACCTTGGCGTCAACAGCCTCAAACAAGCTTACCTGCGTTTATTTCTGTTTGTGGAGAGAAAATCCGGAGCTGTGTGTCTGTGTGTGTCCAGTCAGAGCCGAGCAGCATCACCTACATGCTGTCTGTGAAGTTTGGAGATGAAGCTGATTCCGTCTGTATGTCAGTCTGTCTGTCTGTCTGTCTCCTACATGGTGAAAACACGCGTGTCTGCTGCTGGGTATCTCCTGCCTGAGAATATATGTCACACTGAGTTATCTCCACCTCTTCCTCCTCCTCCTCCTCCTCCTCCTCCTCACAGCTCTGGACAGAACAGCATCAACGTTTCCGACACAAATAAAGGTTTTTCAGGGGGAACGACCTTGAACGTGAACGTCACTGTTCACAGGAGATGACGACTGATGGGAGGGCTGACTAATGGTGTTAATTATAATGATAATAAGTCTTTTACAAATAATAAAAAAGGTTGATTATTTCCCTTCAAATAAGCAGGTAGACCTTGTGAAAGGTTTTGCTTAAAGGTGCACTAATCAGTATTTTAATATTAAGGGGATATTGCATTTATATAAAGTTTAAGGGACTAAATTATTGAATGAATGAAATAAAGATAAAATATCTTTTATCTTTAGTCTTTATCATGAGTGAAGTTTCAAAAAACGCTACGTCCTACATTTCCCATAATGCAACCAAGCCTTGCCTGGTAAAAGTCCAACAGCTTGTAATACAGGCCCTTTTTTAGTGAGTTATAGCCTTTGTAACAAAAACTCTACAACATGAACCAGCAGCTGTCAGGTGAACGGCAGCAGAAGAGTGACGGTTTCTGTACACCGCCGTGATTTAACGGGTGGATACACGTTGCAGCGAGAGATTTATGTCATAAAGTCCGCTGCTGACAGGTTGAGCGGTACTGATTCTTCCCTCACAGGTAATGTGAACAAGGTCATTCGTAGTGAAGGAGTAAAGAACAATCACCTGCAGCTCTACAAATCACTTTTGTCTTTTGATTTTAAAAAAACAATCAATATAACACAATCCATCACAAACACTCTAAAGCAGTGGTTCCCAACCTGGGGGACAGGACCCCCACTAGGAGTCGCCAAAGCTTCACAGGGGCCTTCCTGATTTTAAGGGCTGTAAGAAAACTTAAATACACAGTAGACAGAAATATCTCAGTATTTTGTTTACTTCTGTGAAGTTCAGATGATTATTTAGGAACACACAGTTTATTCACTCTCTGATAAACAGCCTCATCCTGAAGTAGAAAAGTACGGCAAGCGTCAGGAGATGAAAGCACTGAGTTGGTCAGAAGCCTCTTAAGTATGTTTCTCTGTATTATGTATTTTATTATTTTTTAACAATCAGAGAATTGCATAAAAAAGTTAATAAAAATATCAGAAAAACTAATCTCTGACGTAATATTAACAAGAAATAATCAGCACAGTTCATTGTACAGTTGATCAGTATGGCTGTTATCGTTATGCAGTGAATATAATATGAAATATGTCATTGAACGTCCGTTTACTCAATGATAGAAAATAGTTTTTTTAGAGAAAAAGGTTGGAAACCACTGCCATAAACTGCAGAAATATCCACACCTATGAATCTTTCTGCTGGACTAACCTCTTCATTATTACCTCCTCATATCTCTTTTGTCTTGAACACTATAAGTGATAATTTAGGAAAATGTTATATATAACTATAAAACTGTCATAATGAAAGTTAATAAATACATGTTTTAGGGTCCCATTTTAAAGACCCTTTATCACTCAGCTGATATTGTGTGTAAGTGATATTCATCCCCAAACAAATGTTCAATTAAATTAATCAGTTGTTACACAGTAAATCTGGAGCTTTCTGGGGCCCCTGGAAGTTCTGCAATCTTTATTTACTGCAAGCAAGCAGACAACATGAGGCCAGTGTGTGTGTGTGTGTGTGTGTGTGTGTGCAGCAGGTGATTAGATACGGGAGCAGAGGACAGAATGAATCCTCTGAAGAGATCTTTGATTCATTTAGTTCAGATTTAATCTCATCTTCATCATCCTGCCTGAAATCTCTCCGAAAGAGAATAAAGTGGGCTTCTTCTCCTTCTTCTGCTCCTCTGTTCCTCCTCTCGTCACTTACAGACGCAGACAGATGAGGATTCTACTGCAAAAAACACAGTTCATTCATCAGATTTAGTTTAATATTCTGTTTATAAACTGTTGTTACAGCAAGAGAACAGACAACAGTTAGCACTTAGACCTTGGCGGGTCTGTTTATTAGGTGCGATACCAGTGAAATGGCTAAAATCTCCTCTCATGAAAGACTGTGTTATAAACTGATAGATGGGCAAGATGAATATGATGATTCCCACAATGATATAACGTCATAATTTGAGGTGCTGTTTTACATAACCCGAGGTGTAATTTCATACATGGCATATTAGTACGTACAGATTACTACGTGTAATGCTCTGTCTGTGTTATAATCTCCTTGTTTCTGTCTTGTTTTACTTGCATGATGAACACCTTACTAATTTGTCTTGTATGTATGTTTGCCTTTTGTAAAACCAATGAAAAAGAACACCAGAAAAACAGAAGACCATGGAGGGATATAAGGTTCGAGTTTTCCTTATATTCTGTTCACTACAGTCGCTTGCTTCCCCTTTTAATTATTTAACTGATGATGTTTTTGCATTGTTTTACAATTCAGCAGTTCAGTGAGCTCATAAAACACCAAACTTCTCTGTAACAGATTATAATTTAATATTATAGATAATATATATATATATATACATATATATATTAAACATTATACATTATAATGAAATAAAAGTATGTAGACAAACATTTCAAGATAATTTAGAAATGAATTAAGCTGAAACTAAACTAAAATCAAACTTTTATTATTATTATTATTAATAATAATGTACAGCAGCTCTGTGTCCACTAGGTGGCAGCAAATAACCAGTGAAATCTGCCATAAACAATTTATGATGTGGAGGAAAAAACTAAAACAAGATTTTATTTAATATTGTTCTTACAAGTTTTATTCTGTCTGTATTTTTGATATTGCCTGATATCAGAATCAGAATCAGAATCAGAAATACTTTAATAATCCCCGTG